ACATATATATATATATATATCATGCTCAACAACTTCTACACTATTTAGTAAAATGGCTTAGTGTAAGTTATGATATTGGTCTCTTTTTTAGCTTTGTTAGTTGAGCTCTTGAATCTTCATTGATTTGTTGGTAGGCAATGTCATTGTGGACTCTGAGCATCCAAAGTAGTGCTATGCCTGAAAAATCCTATCTAATTTTTCTTCTGAAGTGGTGATTTCCTTTACGAATTTGATTTTCTCCAAATTGTTCCCTCTTTATGTATTAAGCTTCATAATCTCTTCCTATATGCTACTTGTAGCTTTCAGATACCAATTAGGACATTGCTCCAGATCTTCTCAAATTGTGATCACCTCTCATCCTCCTAAAAATTTTATAGTGACATGGTAGGTTGAAGTTATTACCTTGAAATTGTTAAGGAGTAGGCAACCTTTTGCATTGTATGTTACCAATGAATCAATTGCAAAAATTTGGCCATAAAGGTTATTTGTTTATTCTTATCCTTAAGTGATTGGTTGGGTGATGACACATGGGCTCTTTTTTGTTTCCTCGAATAAGACAAATAAAAATTCCAAGGTTGTGACTAGGTGTTAAGATCCCAAGTTCATCTTATTGTAGACACTTTTGAAAAGAATGTTACTTGAACTCCATTTGCCTATGAGAAGGAAGCTAATTTGGTAGTGCATGATTTTTATAGGGATCATGATGTCATCGTTATAAGGATTCTTGTTGCTCGGCAGTTCATCTTGAGTGAAGGCGATAAGGATTGATCTATCGGTTGTGGTCAGGATTAACTAGCCAAATTCACCTCTTCTGATCGAAGTCACTTGATATTCAATTGGAGAGAAGCTTTAAATACATCCTTGCCTAAAATAATTGAGACTACCCTAGTTATGTGGATAACTATGTAAGCATGGGCTCATTTTGAATTTTTTTCACATGTGCCTCATCTTGCCTTTGGTATGATAAATTTCTTTGACTTCCTAGCCCCAACCAACTCCTCGATTAGGTTCCACAAATATTTGCATTCCTTGGTATCATAGTTATAGGCACAATGATACACATTATACATTCTCAGGTCATGTAGATGACTTCCACCCTTCATTGGATGTTAGTTTCCAATAATACTCTTCATTTTATACATCTACTACTTCAGTTATTGAGACAACAAGGGAGTCATAATAGGTAACCAGTATTCTTGAATAATGAGCTAACTTTTGAAAGAGGTTAGGTTAACGCTTCACAAAGCTCAACCTCATTGTATGCCTTACATGGTGACTTCTTTTATCTAAGTTAGCTTGGCTAAAACCCCTCTTCATTGATGCAACTCTTGACATTTCATTATAAAGGTGTTAAGGCAAAGAGTTGCAGTTTTCAACAGCTATATAATTGTTGGACATTCACAGTACTTGGCAAGGGTTCTCAAGCATTGTAAGCCAAGAGTGTAATAAAAATGACCTTCTCTTAACTCTTGAGTGAGTGTGATGTGCGTGACTTTGAATTTTAAAATTTTGAATTCTAACAACTCCTTATGGAAGTGAGTGATAAAGGTTCTTAGGAATTATTATCACTATTGGGAAATTCATAGTAATGTTATCAAGCTCCTCTATTGCTTCTAAGCATTGACAAATTATCACCCCTAACAGGTTACTAAACCACAATAACATCGATTCACTTAGAGTTATGAAAATTAAGCAACATGTCAAAGTGTCATACTGTGGACTCAAATGAGATGATGTGGGCAATAGTACCCCTATAAGTTTCTAAAATTTTGAACTTCTCTAGGGCTTTAAGTTTGGTGATATGTCTAGAAAAGGCATTTTTCATCTGATATCACCTTGCGGTCTTAGCTCACCTTCTCTCCCTTAAATAATCTAAAAGGGAGGAGCTTACATAATTGGAATAGTACGTTCATCCTTCTACGTTGGACTAAAAGGCAAGATTTTTCTTATTCTAATTATAAGTGATCATCTATGTTGTATTGTTGATCTTACAAGGAAAATAATATCAATATTGTTGGCTTTATGCTTGAGGCAAGTTCTCTCCCTTATCACTATCATCATTTGTTCTTTTAGCTCATTAATTTGTTGCACCATGAACTCCTTACTACATTCCATGTTGTTGAAGATTTCTTTGTTGTTGTGTAGCTCATCTTCCTATTTATAACATGCTCTATATTCACCACATCTTTCAGGATGTTGGATCATAGTTTGTATGTGGATACACACCACTATGGAAAGAGCTAAATAAGGAAATATTTGAACCCAAGATTAGGGGGAGAATGAAAGATGAATAAGTCTTTCAATATTCAGAGATCTATCCCATGTATTATAACAATCTCTTTTATTTATAAAGGTTTTCATTTATATATTACAAATATACATGAATCTCAATAGACATTTGCTCTATCTTTTTTATCCTCTTCTAAAATGAATGTTATAATTAATATTATTTTAATAACACATTGCATTGGTGACCATTTCTTATAAATACTTTTCCTCATACTTCACTTCAAGTAATTCTCCTTTCGACCAACTCAATCATGAGATGAGCTGATCCTCTAGGAGAGTTAATCTCCTAAGGAATCGGTCCCTGAGAGAGTGGATCTTCTAAGGTAGTTGCCAAACTGCTTCTATCGAGCATCTCTGTGCTAATCACAGTTAGCGAGCTATCGAGTTACATGATCAAACTAATCTAGTTGAGTTGCCTAACAGGCTCGATAAGCTTTAAGCTTCACATCTTGAACCTAATCCAAAAGCTTTTGGTCATACGTCAATATTTTTCTTTATAAAATATGATAAAAATTTTCTTTCAAAGTAAATATAAGGGGATTGCTAGTATTTTTTGTTTGAAATAAAATTTTGAACATATATATATATATATATTTATATATATTTCTAGATAATATGTTTTTTAAATTATTATTATTATCAGTTGAATAAAGTAAAAAATTTCAATCTTTGCTGGCCACGCTTCAGCGACGAACATCACTTCTTTCTACAGTGTCGGGAGGGTCGGAATCGATGGCTGCTCCTATTCCTTCTTCTATCATCTCATGCTCTCTGCTTTGCTCTGCTTCTTCTTCCACTTCTCTTCGTTGTGCCTTGTCCTTCCCTGTTGGAGATGACTTCCATGGCGGACTCCGGCAGCGGATTCTGAACTCCAAGTCATTGTCATCTCCTCGGAGACGCCGGAACGAGGATTCTGTCTGGCGAACAGCGCTCAATGAGCTCCCTGCCGTTGATCCACTGCCCTCTTTAACGAACCCGTCCGACGTCACCTCTCTCAAACTCAAACTACTGGTTAGCCCTTCTTTCCCGCTGCTTAGTAATTCTTCAACCAGTCATTTGGAACGTTGAATTTCTTACCTGTTGAATCCGAAATTGTCCGTGAATCACACCTAGGGGGGAATAGAACATAAGGTAAAAAGAGAGATATTGAGAGGGAAGTGAAAATAATAGGAAAGTGCACAATAATGAACAATAATATGAAATGTTGATTAGTTATTTCTCATAAAATGTTCTCTATTTATAGATGAAGAGGGTATAGTATGTGTAATTACATGTTTGCTTCTGTTTTAATGGAAGCATTACAAGGTATTTTGTGTATTTTATAATTATAAGCCTATGGTTTGGTAATGATTGTTTGGTCGGCTATGATGTGCCGATATTGTCGGTCGACCCTAGACTAACTTTGAGTCGGCAGGATTTGGCTCAGTCGGCTTGGTTCCTCCAGCCGACTATCTTGCTCCGGTCGTTGACTTATAATCCTTGGATCAGGACCTCCGGTTGGCAAAATGAGCCTAGGCTATGAAGCAGAGGATGAATTACCATAATCCGATAGGTAACTCATAACCCAATGAGAGTATCCATGAGGTGGCTAGGAATGTTGAACTTTCCCCTTGAATTGGGTCATGTCAAGAGGTAGGTTGATACTTTTGCTTGATTTGATTGGCTTTGGCCTTTGGTTCCGCTGGCTTGCATTCAATCGGCCTTTAGCCCCAGTTTAGGGGGGGTTGCACCTAGACAAATAGGTCTCTTGGCCTTCTGCTAATGAGTCCTTTGGTTTTATGTCAGCTGGTCCTTTGATCTTCTGACAACGAGCCTTCCTAGTCGTATTTCTTTGTCTCTTAGTCTGTTGGATCTCCTAGAGATTCGTGCTAACGCTTTTTCTATTTACGTTGCTTGAAACTTCACCATCCGATGGATTCATTGGAAAGGAGGATGAATGATTGACGGAAGCTGATAGGGTCGAAGTTTGTTTATTTTGTTTGATTTGTCTCAAACACTGGATTTCAAGGGCTCTTTGGCTTAAGCAGGATTTATTAAATATTATAAAATCCAAATTTAGGAAATCCTGAGTTGTTGAATCCTAAAAAATCATTTGATACGATCTATGTTTAATCTGATTAAATGTTGGTAAATTGTTTGGTGGATGTTCTTTTAAAATTAGTATTTAAAGAGAAATTTCGGGTTGATGCAACCTAAAACATTGATGTAGACTTTGTCGTACAAAACATTTAACTTAAATTAAATTCTACTTAAATCTTGCAATCAAATAGTGCCTAATTGTAGAAGCCTCTCGCCTAGTAATGCTTAATTGTTTTCTTTTGGTGTAATTGACGCAATTCTGCTGCTCCAATGCAATTTTTTTTTTTATTCCAACTTGTGTTGTATTTTCATCTATTCAATTTGTTGCTCATGCAGATTTCTTTACCATTTGGTTGCCAACGTAGATTACCTGCTGGTTGTAGAATATTATCATTTATTTGATTTTTATGTGCTGTATCTAATTAACTATAAGCGGGTTAAACTTGAGCCCATTATGCTTTGCACCATCCAAATTTTCCTGTGCCAGTTTGAACTAGTCGTCTCCATTCTTGTGTGCATGCCAAGCACATGCATGAAGTGGTGAGGCTGCGACACATGACCCCTTCTATATTTGACATTGTCCAGTTAAAAGTTAAGATGCAACTTCCTCTTGTTGATGTGTTCTTATGACATGGTATCTTTCTGGATCATTATAACGAGTTGAAGAGTATGTAGTGCATGTAGCTTAGATATTTTACAGTGTGGTCGTAATTCATGATGACCATCGAAGTAAGTATCATAATAATATATCCTAGCGTAGTAAGACCTTGAAGGCTTGAGTTAACAAAGAGCTGGTGGCAGTTAGACGTGCAGCTGCAATTATTGTAGTTAGTGAGGTGGAAATCAGGATTTGGACGAGGCCACAATTCAATAAGTTAAGCTAAGTGTAATGATGCAATTTATGTTTAAAGATTTAAAATCGATACAAGTTTTCAACAAAACAATATTAAGCTTTAAAAAAAGAAACCCATGGACACTATTATAAAATGAAACATTACAAAAATGATGTTGATATTATATTAGCAATGGAGCAAGTATGAGAAGTGGGAGAGATTTGATGCGTATGAAATTTGCAAGTGTTGATGGTCCTTGTGGCTAGGGTACATACAATGGAGCGAGGCAATTTGTCATGATTTGGCTCAACATAGTTTTTATGCTATAATAGTTCACATCAACTCGAGTGCATTATTATGCTTTTCCTAAGATATATTCGAAGGATTTCTTTATATTATCTGTGGAATTATGCTCATTATTATTTACTTTATTCTATTTACTACTTGCTATATTTTGTCGTGGTATAAAAATGGTAATTCCTTAATTATAGGTATTTATGTTTATTTCATAATTATAGGAATTACTTAATTGTAGGGAGATTTCTTTCCTCCTTTTATCTCTTGTACTCACCTATTTATAGGTAAATTATCTATGTATTCAGTGAAAAAAAGATTATTCAAAATTCACATGATATCAGAGCCATAAAAAAAAACCCTTCTCTCCCGCTCCCGCTCGATCACGGCCCTTCTCTTCCGTGATTCTCCGTAATCGAGCGCTGCCCTAGTCTGTCGTCCGCATCCGAGCGCCGCTCCTACCGATCGCGCCTCTCTCTGATCGTCCACGTCGGCTCCGCGTCTACGTCCGCTTCCACGCTCGTCTCCCGCGATCATCCACGCTCCTTCCGCGATCGTCTCCCTCATCGTGCTTCTACCGCCATCTCCACGAGAGTTCGGATCTCTTAGGCGACGCCAGATCGCGATCTTCCGTAATCCCGACATCTGTCGTGGACTCTTCTCCCGTAGCACAACCAGTTCCGCGATCTCCCACGCCGGCTCTCTTCCGCGACCGAGCATAACCAGTTCCTGTCGTGCTCAATGACTAAGTACGGCATGCCTGCTCTGCCACTCCTCCACTAGTGATGTCACTTCTAGCCACCCCTCTGCGGCTGGGCCTCCATTGCCCAGTAATTCAGAGAGTAATTCTGTCCTCATCACCAATCACAAACTCATCGGCCTGAATTACCTCCAATGATCGCAGTCAGTCATGATGTTTGTATGCGGAAAAGGCAAAGATGACTACCTACTGGTGATGTTCCAGCTCCGATGACGACAGATCCATCATACAAGACTTGGAAATCCGAGAATAATATTTTTATGGCCTGACTTGTTAACTCAATGACACTTGATATTGGCGAAAATTTTCTCCTCTATGGCACGGCTAAGGAAATCTGGGATGTTGCCCGTGAGACCTATTCTAGTGCGGACAATACAAGCGAACTATTTGCTGTTGAAACCATTCTTCATGACTTTCGTCAAGGTGATCTCTCCGTCACCCAATACTTCAATACTCTTACTCGGTATTGACAACAACTAGATCTATTCGAGGTGTACCCTTGGAAAAGACTGTCATATTTCGTCAAATCATAGAACAGAAACACACCTTCAAATTTCTTCTCGGCCTCAAATCTGAGTTTGACCAGACTCGCTCACGGATTTTGAATTCAAAACCTCTTCCAACAATTCGTGAAGCTTTCTCCGACATACGCCGCGAAGAGAGTCGCCAAAAGGTCATGTTAGGT